GGAGCCGTGTGAGGCACTTTTTATGATGGATGGATGCACTTTATTGGACTTCTTTTGGGCTATTGAAAAATAACACCCATTCACTGCCATTATAAATCTTGGAAGAGCCAGGATTTTTAAAAATATAACTCCGATTGGATTCGTCTGAATGAAGAAAGTCATATACACCTAGCATGGCTTGAGGGTGAGTAAATCATGGGGGAATTTTCATTTTTCGATGAACTATCCCTTTAAGCACTTTTTTTAAATGAAAAAGTAATAGAAATCTGTACAAAGCTGCATTTTCAAACTTGCAAATACAACACTGTGCTCGCTAGACGAGAACATATTGATGCATTGTGCTCCTTTAATTTATTCCTTCAGTTTTCTTTCATTGGTCTCGAAAAGGTCATGAAAACGTCTTAAATTGACCTTCGTCAAAGCTGCAGAATCGCTGTGTATGCGCGGTGTTTGAATCCCGCCGTGTGTGCAGGTCACTCGGATCGACGGGACGGTGGACAGTCCGCCGTGTCTCAAAGTCACCCATAAGACGTTCGGGACGCAGAACAGTAACGCTGACATGGTGTTCTGCAGACTCAGCATGCCGGTGGAGTTTCACTCCAGCTTCAGGAGCAGCTCTTGCACGCACATCAACGGACTGAGTGAGGACGAGCCGCTTAAGCTCAGACACAGGTCAGAGAAGAAGACAGCATGAGATATCAGTGTGATTCCGGCATTCTGAATGAGTCATCCAGAGCTCTTGTTTGTTTCTTTGTTTGTTTATCATCTGAACGTTTCTAAAGGCATCCAGTGAAGTCCACCAAACACTCGGATGAAGGCAGGAGAACAGATTACAGCAGCATCAGCACAGTAAGTGTCGAAGCCTCTTCTCCTCCAGAACCGTTATGAGAATAAAGGTTATTGATATTTAATTTAGGTTAATTTTATTAGCATCTTTCGTTGTCAGCGTTTTCTATGTTCCTTTAAAGCGCCAGTGAAATAAGTTCTGTCATTATTTAAGGTGCATTCACTCCAAAACAACAACAAAAACTATAACGATAAATATAACAATAACTATAACAGTATCTATAATAACTGTAAAGATAAGTATAACAGTAAGTATAATGATAAATATAACTATAAATGTAACAATAACTATAACAATTAAAACAATAAATATAACAGCAAATATAATAACTGTACTGATAACCATAACAAACAAATATAGTAACTATAACGATAAATATAATAACTATAATGGTAAATATAAAGTTATATATGAAATAAACGACAATTATATCTGTAACTATAACAATTACTATAATAATTATGATGATAACTATAATAATAACTGATAATTATAGCGATAACAATATAATGATAACTTTAATGATGAGTAACTATAATGGTGACTATAACAATAACTATAACAACTAACTATAATGGTGACTATAACAATAACTATAACAACTACAATGATAACTGTAGTAATATATATATATATGATGATAAATATAATAACTAGAATGGTAAATACAACATTAAATATAATAATAAAATTATCTATAACAATATAGATTAATATAATAATAAGGATGATAACTATAATCATAACTATAACTGTAATGATAAATATAGCGATAATGATAACTATAATAATAATCATAATTATAATAATAATTTATAAAGAAGAAAAAGGAAAAGTAGTAACAATAACTATAACAATATCTAAAACTATAACAAATAACTAATAACTATAATGATAACTGTAACAATAACTATAATAACTGATAAATATGATAGCTATAACTATGAAAAAATATAATGATAACTGTAATAACAAACTATAGTGATAATGATAAATATAACTATAATGCTAAATATAATTATAATATAACTATAACTGTAATGATAAATATAATAACTAAAATAACTATAACAATATCTAAAACTATAACAAATAACTAATAACTATAATGATAACTATAGTGATAATGATAAATATAACTATAATGTTAAATATAATCATAACAATATAACTATAACTGTAATGTTAAATATAATATTTGATAACAAAAATAACTATAATGATAACTATAACTTTATAAACTATAACTCTGATGTGGACTCTGCTATTCGCTAGTGATTGGATGTAATTATTGTTATAGTTATTGTTCTTGGTGTGATCGGGCCTTTATTGACCCTCAAGCTCCAAAAAGAGCTCCATGTAATGTTTGTGAGGTCACATGACTCCTCAGGATGTGTGATTTGAGCGTGATGTCTGCGTCTGTCTCCTGCAGTACTATCATTCGGTCAGGATATTTGCGGGTCAGGACCCATCCTGCGTGTGGGTCGGATGGGTCTCCCCTGACTACCATTACTATAGCAACCACTTCAGCCTCAGCAAGAACCGCACAGTGACCATTACCCTGGGAGACGAGCGGGGCCGCGTGCACGAGAGGTGAGCGCTCACGGTTACCATGTGATGTGTTGTGATGGGTCATGTGATGCGCTGACGTCTCTGTGTCATGTGACAGCATGAAGAGGAGTAACTGTTACATGGTGTGGGGTGGAGACGTCACCAGCGCCGCCCACGCGTCCGGCCGCAGCAACGTGGATTTAGAGATCGGATGCCTCATCGATTTGGCTATGGGTCTGTTAGCGTTCACCGTCAATGGCAAAGAGCTTCCCACATCCTACCAGGTACCATCAGCTCATCACTTAACACTACTGTAACTATAACCATAACTATAACCAATCATAACTGACAAAGAGCTTCTCACATCATACCAGTTACAGACAGCTCATCACTTAACACTACTGTAACTATAACCATAACTATAACCAACCATAACTGACAAATATCCTCCCGCATCATACCAGGTACCGTCAGCTCATCACTTAACACTACTGTAACTATAATCTTAACTATAACCAACCATAACTGACAAAGAGCTTCTCACATCATACCAGTTACAGACAGCTCATCACTTAACACTACTGTAACTATAACCATAACTGTAATCAACCGTAACTGACAAAAGAGCTTCCCAGATCATACCAGTTACCGTCAGCTCATCACTTAACACTACTGTAACTATAACCATAACTATAACCAACCATAACTGACAAATATCCTCCCGCATCATACCAGTTACAGACAGCTCATCACTTAACACTACTGTAACTATAACCATAACTATAACCAACCATAACTGACAAAACAGCTTCCCAGATCATACCAGTTACCGACAGCTCATCACTTAACACTACTTTAACTATAACCATAACTATAACCAACCATAACTAACAAAGAGCTTCCCAGATCACACCAGTTACTGTCAGCTCATCACTTAACACTACTGTAACTATAACCATAACTATAACCAACCATAACTAACAAAGAGCTTCCCAGATCACACCAGTTACTGTCAGCTCATCACTTAACACTACTGTAACTATAACCATAACTATAACCAACCATAACTAACAAAGAGCTTCCCAGATCACACCAGTTACTGTCAGCTCATCACTTAACACTACTGTAACTATAACCATAACTATAACCAACCATAACTAACAAAGAGCTTCCCAGATCACACCAGTTACTGTCAGCTCATCACTTAACACTAATGTAAGTATAACCATAACTATAACCAACCATAACTGACAAAAGAGCTTCCCAGATCATACCAGTTACCATCAGCTCATCACTTAACACCACTGTAACTATAACCATAACTATAACCAACCATAACTGACAAAGAGCTTCCCAGATCACACCAGTTACTGTCAGCTCATCACTTAACACTACTGTAACTATAACCATAACTATAACCAACCATAACTGACAAAAGAGCTTCCCAGATCATACCAGTTACCGTCAGCTCATCACTTAACACTACTGTAACTATAACCATAACTATAACCAACCATAACTGACAAATATCCTCCCGCATCATACCAGTTACAGACAGCTCATCACTTAACACTACTGTAACTATAACCATAACTATAACCAACCATAACTGACAAATATCCTCCCGCATCATACCAGTTACAGACAGCTCATCACTTAACACTACTGTAACTATAACCATAACTATAACCAACCATAACT